TTATTATTATTATTATTATTATTATTATTATTATTATTATTATTATTATTATTATTATTATTATTATTATTATTAATGATTGAATATTTGAAATAAATAATATTATTATTTAAGAAATTATTATTTGCATATCAACTGATTTGGTTTTTTTCAAACCTTATTTTATTAATGGACAATCATGAAGTTTTATATATCTAATTCATGTTAAAAATTTTCCGTCTTTATTTTTTTATTGATATATATTTTGAATTTTAAATTCTAATACAAAAACTTCTATATAATGGAAAAAATAATAATTACCTCCAAGAATAAAGTATTTTTATTTACAATAAGTTGCACGTGATAAACAACCAATCCAATGATTCTAACATTCATCATTCTATTTAAAAGAGAACTTGGAATTTTTCTTAAAGGAAGGTTTAGAATATTTTTAATGAATCTTAAATTAGAACAAGAGACTATACCGCCAAGAGTTCCTGGAATAAGGGAAGACCTGATAGAGAATTGTTTAATGAATTAGTACTTGAAATTAATTCTGAAATGAACAATAATGATGGATAGTTTTGAAAGTAAAGTATAAATACATATTCGCGGAAAATATTATTACACTTTAGCATACACTTTAGCATAAATTATTACTATCATTATTCAAGACTCGCAAAAGTATAAAGTTTTTTTTTTTAATTGAGATAATTAATATTACACAAAAAAATAAATTTTTTTTCGATACAAAAAACTCCAAAAATCAAAGAGAAAATAATTTTTTTTTACATAATTAAAGGTAATAAAAAATACATAAGTGTGCTCTCTGAGGTTTATTTTATTTGTATACACAAAAAAATTTCATCTTACAAGACAAAAGCATAATAACTTTTTTTTTATAAAAAGTGTTTTTTCTCGTAAATTTTCCCCTATATAGTACTCACTGATTCATAGACGGATCGTCAAAAACAAACATTTGTAATAAAAAGATTAGTTCGTATTTTACTTCCTTGTACTCTAGGCTCGTGAAACTTTGAGAAAAGTCATGTGTTCCTGCATTACATAAATGCAAGCTTTTATTAAAAAAACTTGTTCATAACTAAATAATACCATTGGCCGAAACAAAAATAAATGGTTTAATATGTTGTTAAGTTTCTACTAGTTAAAACTGCGCTCAACCATAATATTGAAGGCGAAATAATTAATTATCCTCATAAAATACAAGTAAAATACAACAAGTTTCTCTTTTATTTGTGTTAGTTGATTTAGTTGATAATAAAAACTTTAATACTTTTAATATTAAATTGATTATGAAATTCAGGGCTGCAGATTTTTTTGTAAATAATTAACAAATTTGTATTCGTGTTACGTACACTCTATTTCATTATTATTATGTAACTGGTAACAGAGATTGATAAACCGCAAATAAATAAATGATAAAAATTTCCCTCAATATGTATATATTAATATTCTTAATAAGTATTTTTTTTTCCGCCAAAAAATTTTTTTCCTTCCTCACTTAATTTTTAAAAATAAAAAAAAATGGGTGACATTTGTTTATATTGTAGTAATCCCAACACAGGAAGATACTGGTGCAAAACATGCGATCCAGGACGCTTAGTTGAAAGTTGGAATATCGGGGATAATCACATAAATGGATATCTCTTAAACAATGTAAAAAAAGCAAATAATTACGATGACCCATTCCTTGAATACATTCCTTATGAAAATTTTAAAATTTTTGAAAAAATTGGTGAAGGTAGCTATGGAGTTGTATATCATGCCAAATGGCATAATGGTTTGAGATATTGTGAGGGGGGTGCTAAAAGAAAAGTAGCTGATGTCGCCATTAAAGAAATAAGAAGTGGTTATGATGTAACTCTTGATTTTATATCAATGGTAATGAATAATAATATTTATGCGATAATAAATAAAATCTAAATTATTGCTTTTAATATTACACATATTAACCAATATTAATATGCATTATATTTCGTAAATATTATGTGTATACATGTAATAGATTGAAACTCATCTTCAATGCTTCTATGAAGATCGAAATTATGTCTCAAGGAAATTATTAAAATTATATGGTATTGCACAAAATCCAACAACAAAAAGTTATATAATAGTTATGGAATATAAAGACGGTGGTAGCCTACGAAGGTACCTGAACGATGAATTCCAACAAACCCAATGGAAACATAGAATCGAAGTCCTTTACAACATATCAGGTGGTATGAAAAGAATTCATCGTACAGAATGTGTTCATGGTAATCTTCATTGTGGGAATATTTTAATGAATAGAGGAGGAACCAATACATATATTACAGGATTTGGATTTTCATCAACTAGCCCTGATAGTAATATGAAAGTGTTAGAGGGAGTTTTGCCATATATTGCGCCAGAAATACTGTGCGGACAATCAAAATCCAAGGAATCAGATGTTTATAGTTTTGGTGTAATAATGACCGAAATGACTACTGGAAAACCACCATTTTATAATACTACACATGATGAAAAATTGGCTGAAGAAATTTGTATGGGATTGAGACCAGAAATAAATAAAAAAGTTACTCCACCAATTTACTTCCAATTGGCTAAACGATGTCTTGATTCGGATCCAACAAGAAGACCAACTTTTGATGAATTGCATGACACGTTAGAGTTATGGCATGATGCATTATCTGGGCGTGGTCTTCTTCCAGGCGAGGAAAAAACTAAGTTTCTTAGAGAATCTTTTGAACCACTTGATAATATTCAGATTGAATCAAGTTACACTCCTCGTGAAGGTGTTTTTTATATTAGAAGAACATTAAACCTCGGTCAATTTTCTAAACCGGAAAACCACAACGATCATTATGTTTATTAAAAAACTATCATTTATTTATTTATAATTGTAAAAAAAGATTATTTTCATTTATTATCGTATCATATCATTCATATCATTCATTCTATTATTTATTATTAAAAATTATTTTTATTTTAAAATTATATGAAATTAAAAAAACAATAAAAAATATTATTATTAAATATTCTAAAACTTGTTCAATATCAGGACGTTTCAGGTTCAAATCTCCAACAGCCTAATTTTTAAAGAAAAATTTACAAACAACAACCAACAATTATTATTTTTAGAGTTTTTCATAAACAATCATGTAACATGATACTTCAATATATTTATTTTCAAATGGAATTGTTCCGCTTGAAATTTCCCAAAATAATATACCAAGACTACTTTTTTTTGATCTTCTATAAAACTTTTTTTGAGAATCCAAATATTGTGTCAAGTTGAAATAATGTTGTTGACTTGAGTGAATTGGTTGTTTAAATGATCCAAAATTATGTAATCTAATACCACCATTAAGGATGTTTATATTATTAGATGATAAAGAAAGAGATCAATTATTTCATAAAAAATAGAGACAATGATAGATACCAGGCCACCATGAACTATATTATTAACGTATAAACAATATAATGCAGATGTTAATTTTTAATTTTTGCATCCACGACAAATTATTAGTGCTTAAGATAACATATGGTGCACCAACTCTTAACCCGATAATAAAATCATCTGACTTTGAACCTTTTAACTCAGCGTAGGATCATTTTTTGGAAAATCCACCAGTAACTATTTTCATTGTGATAAGCACTACAATGTTACCGGTCCTCATACAACAGAGTTTTCCGGGCCCTGATTTCAGTATTAGTATATATGTAATTCGATAAATCGAGGTTCGTTATTATTATATAGGTATTAGTTTCAGGAGTCAAACCTCGTTTTAACAGATTTTAGAAAGTACTAGTCACGTTATAACGGATTTTATATGTTTTTATATATTAATATTAAATATGGAGCCAAAATATTAATATTAAAAGTCGTTATATATAACACGGATTTAATTAGGTTACTATTACACTTCATTATAACAAAGTGTTTTTTAAATTATGAGAAGTGTAAAAAAAACAAGTTTTCTTTACTATCAAAGCAAATAGTTCTCAAGATGATGACGTTTAAAGTTAATTTGTAATATTACATACAGATATTGTAAAATAGTAATTTATGGATCACTGAAAATCAATAATAAATCGGAGATACTGATTATGATCAAGAGTTCAAACCAGTACAATTTGATATTGTTACTCAATTAATAAACCAATAAAATAATTAACTCACGGAATTATTGAGAATGAATTAGAATTCTAAATTGTACGGAGCTTTAATTCTTAGATTCTATTTAAACAAAGGAATTTAAATGATTTGATCACTTTAGAAATAGCTTGAAAATAATTCTACACGGAGTTTCAAATAGTGTTTAAAGGAACACATTTAATTAGAACAAATTAGGTTTTCAAAGAAATTAGAGTATTAACAACGTTGTAATTTTATTAACTTCATGTATTATCATCATTATATAACTTTATAATCACCATATATCATAATCACCATAATCATCACTTATAAATAACAAACTGCCATTGTCATCGTCCTCGTTGTTGTCTTCGAATTTTATATTTTCGTAATGATAATAAATCTATCTCTAACAATGAATTCATACTAATCTCGTGCATGACCATTTTCTCTCATTTTATATTCGACACTATTTTTTTAAAATTAATATCTTACCAGGGCGCCTTTGCTAAGTACATTGTATACATTTATTTCTTTTATTTTTATTTTTATTTTTTTTTGTTATTTTAGTAGAACTTAGGTTGTAGTGGTAGGACAATATAATTTAGGTCGGAACCTAAGATTAGTGAAAAACCTAGGTAGAGCCAGTTGAAGTTGAGCCGAAGATATAAGAGTAAAGCCCAACGTACCGAGGCGAATATTAAATATATTTGAACGTTCCCGACTCAGGCAGATAACAAAGAACTGCTGAAAAATCGTGATCGGGGAATTGGAGCCATTCCCGTGGATTGATAGTCAAAGAGCTATTGAAATTATTGATTGTATTTAAAAAGAAAAGCAATTGCATTTTGAGATTAGAAAAGTTTAAAGTATTGAATTCGAATATTGTTATAAATAAAATATTGAAATTTTGATGAGGCTCAGACAATCTCACGTTTTGGCGACGACGACAGGACACAATCTCATGATGGCATTAACACTATTTTATAATTTATCCAAGAAAAAATTACATTCATATATAATAATACAATTAAAGGTTTTATTTTTTATTTTTATGTAATCTATTATACTATTCATCTGGGATACTTAATTCAATTTGTTGTGAATCTACACAATCTTTATAAGGATAAATATTAGTTATAATCAATGTTAATTTTGATATCAAATTTAGAACTATTAAAATAATTAATTATTAATATGATAATAATTACCATTAGAGTTGCTAATAATTGTAACTTTATTTGAATTTACAGGTTGAGGAAGATTCATGAATTTTAATAATCTGCTGGTATAAACAGCATTTGGATGTACAAATTCTGTAATTATTAAAGGGTTAAATTCAATATTGTCCATTTCATCAATTTCCTTTTGAATTAATTTTATTTGATCAATTTGTTCTTGAGAATATTTATAATAATTAATTCCATAGGAGTATTGAGGATTATTTAAAATTTGTTTATTAGAGGACTTGAGCCAATATAAAATGGTGTTTTCAATTTCTCCAGTAGTTGGACGTTTATCTGGATCAGCATCCATACATCTGTATGCTAATTCAATGTAAAATTTTGGAGTATTGTTTGAGAACCCTGGCCTTAAACCTTCACATATTTTCATAGCAAGTTCTAAATCATGTGCTAAATTACTGAAAGGTTGTTGACCAGTTGATACTACTGACATCAATACACCAAAACTATATATATCTGATGACTTTGTATATGGTTTTTTTCTTAATACTTCTGGTGCAATGTATGGCAGTACTCCAAATATATCCCTTTCATTTGTTTGATTAGCTGGAATTGACAATCCAAAATCTGCAATATATGAATTATTATAATCACTATAATCACTATCTTTATCTATAAGAATATTACCACAATGAAAATCACGATGAACAATTCCTTGGTCATGAACATATTTTAACCCAGAAATAGCATTATAAATGAGTGTGATTTTGTTCACCCATTTTAAATTTTTAAATTCCTTTGTTAAAAAATCTTGGAGACTTCCATCTTTTATATATTTCATTACAAATATATATTCCTCTGTATTTGGATCTTGTGATAATCCATAAATTTGAATTATATCTGATTTATCATGAAAATTAACAAAATTCTTGAACTAAAAAAAAAAAAAAAGGAAATATTTAATAATTAAAATTGCATTTAAAATAATAATAATAATAATAATAATAATAATAATAATAATAATAATAATGAAACCTCATTAAGAAATTCATCAGAAATATTTTTTGAGTTATGCAATTTTTTTAATGCCACAATTAAGTCTTTACTGGTTCTTTTGTTACCAAATGTATATTTTTCACCATTTATCCAAGTAGCTTTGTATATAGTTGCAAATCCACCTTCACCTATCTTTTCAATATTTTTTAAATCATCATAGGGAATCCATTCAAGATAATGCTTATTTATATATTTTGTTGCTTTAAGTTGTGTACTTTTAATCAACCCATCTAATGTTTTGTTGCCACTAGTCCATCCTTCAGTTAATAATTTTGGATCGCATGATTGACACCATCCCCAATTTGTATTATATCTATTACAAGTTGAACAATCCCCAAAAGCGCCTCTTCTTTTATCTGAATATTCATCATATTTTTGATTTTTCATTTTTCTGTAATAAATAATTCGACTAAATTTTTAATGTTACATTGCAGTCAGAGAATATATACCAAATTTGGGAATTTCTAAATGTTCCCGATTTCATTTCATCAACAATCACTTCGTCAACACACATTTCGTCGACACGCATTTCGTTGACAGTCACTTCATCGACAGTTCATATGATTATACACATTGATTATAATTATTAATTGATGATCCGCGAATAAATGAGCAAGGGAAATTTCATATCAAATGATTGGCAAAAAAAATCTAGAGTGCTGATTTTACTATTAAAAAATTTTACTTTGTGATCTCTTACAAGAAAATAGCACTACGCTTTTGTGCCTCAAATTTACATCCCTTTATTTTATAAGGTGGAATAAACATCAAATATATTGATCCATTTTTTTGATTTTTAATCAGAAAATAAAAAACTTTACTTTGTAGCACCTGTAGATTTTTCGTCTATATGAAATTTCCCTCACAAATTACTATTACTATAGAAATGATCAACATATAGACGGATCATCAATTAATATTAATATAATTTCTTTAGTTGTTAATCTTGATTGAATCTAGGAATCGTGATTCAGAAACTTATATAAAGGAGAAATTTGGATCTAATTAGTTTGCAAGTACATTAATGACTGAATTTCATGCATCTTGAAAAGAATCATCATCAGAAAAATAAATATTTTGAGTTTTGATTCAAACGAAATCCCAATTTGTCTGATTCACATTAATTATTATTATTATAATCGGTAATAATATCATCACATGTAAACTAACTGTCAGTGAAGTATTTGTCGACAAAATGAGCTGTTGATGAAATGTGTGCTAACGAAATGATTGTTGACGAAAAGTAAACGCGACTGCTAAATTTAAAGGTAAATTAATAATTTATTTTATATATATATTTTCTAACAATATTTTTTATTATTCAACGATATAGTTATTTAATTATAAGCAATACAAACAACAGGGTGAGCAGATATATTATCCTGAAAATAATTAGATATTTAAATTATTATCATTTGGGATTTTATAAAAACTTTAATACAGGTTCTTAGGACGTTTAGAAATATTTTAATTAAAAGAATCCGAAATTCAACGAAA